CACCCTCTCAGCCCCCTTTACTTCGAGAAGTTCAGAAGCGGCGCCCGGTTCCAGGCTTACTCTGCGTCAAGCCAGCGGCCCTGCGCGGCCGCCAGCCTGGGCGCAGCGCCTGCCTCCCCCGCGCGCCACACAGGGCGACCCGGCCCGCAGGAATCCCGGCGCGGGCGCGGGCTGCGGTGTTTCGGTGTTTCACCCGAAAGCACGAAAGGAATCCTGGTGAAAACCGGCGCGGGGTGGGGGCGAGTTCGGGAAGCGCAGGAGTGCGGGTGGGGGGCGGCGGGGGTGCACTGCGGCTAGAGAGCCCGGAGTGGGAGGGCCGCCGGGAGAGGAGGGGGCGCCGGAGCCGGGCTGCATCTTACCTAACAGGTAAAATGAACCCCTCGGGAGGTAGGTTTCTAGTCTGGGCTTTCTTCTCCAGGGAATAGAAAAGCTGCATTTCAGTTTCGGGGTGATAGGCTGTGGTGAGATCTGGATTTTTATACGATTTCCTAAGGAACTGGTGGGCCAGCCTGCTCCTCGCAAACACCGCATTTGCTGCAGGGAGGTATCTCGAAGGAGCAGAGGGTCGCCCAAGGGCAGAGATGGGGCCTTCTGGTCACTCCAAAAAGGGGAAGAGGGAATTCCTGGGAAGCACCCTATGCCCGTCGCAGTGAGGTTAGGTGCTGATTAATTAGGAAGAACATTTAAATATCTCGGCTTCTCCTCTTCTCCCATCCTAGCGAGGGGCGGGGATTCACATTTAGAGGTGAAGGCAAGGGGAGAAAATGAGATGCCCCTTATCATATTCCGAAATCTATTAAAAAAAATATGTTAGGGACCTACAGAGGACTCCCGAGGCCTACTGTGTAAATATTGGCCGAAGTGTTTGTTTCACACGTAGCTTCCACACCCATTGAACTACCCCATAAAATCTTTACCCTTGGCCACAGGGATAATGGGGAGAAAACAAGGATGGTGCCAGCTCGACTGTACAGGAACATGGGTACTTCGCGAGAACAGGTCAGCAGCCTGGGTCTACTTCGAGAGACTCTTAGTTGACCTTGCGGGATCAGTCACCACAAGCAAACGCTCCCCGAAGTTTCTATGTATTTTTAAGCTGACCTGTAAACGGGCAGCTTGTCCCCTACTTGCCCCGCTGGCATTAAAGACCCTACACAGATGACGTTTGGCCTTCGCTTTAATGCTGTCTTATTTTTACACCCCATTCCTGGTCCGCTCGGGGTTTCCGTCTCCTCTTTCCGCGGAAGACGCTGGTCTGCTGCCAGCTCTCAGGCACTGCGGGATGCTGGCGGGGACAACGCAGCAGTCGAGGCGCTGGGCCTTAAGGCAGGGTGAGGGGCGGGGGGAGTTTCTCGGAGAAGCCTGCTGATTGGTGGGGTTCCCTGTCCTTCAAGTTTTGCCTGACAGGAGGGGAGGTGGGGAGAGATGGTAGGGGTACCAAGGTAGGTTGCGAAGCGTAGGGGAAAATTGTTTTTTAAAAAAGAACTGTAAACGCCATTCAGCAGCGTGTGATACGTGAATTCCGGGGACTCGGCATCTGCAAAAGGACGCTCCCCAAGCGAAGCCCGGGAGCTTCTCATTTCTCCTTTCACCTTTTTGTTCCCTGCCATCATGCAGCCTCATCTGAACCTGGTTAATCTGTAATTTGTGTACACACTGTTGAATTGAAAGCCCGCCCTCTTTCCTTCTGACAGCTTGGCTATGTGGGCACACGTGCCCACTACGGCAGAGCTATAAATAGCATATACGTATTTGGAACTGGTAATAGGCGGCAATAACAGTGGCCGAGATTCTGAGGGTATAGCTTGCTTGATGCGGAGCAGGGGAGGGGTGGGTGGAGCAGGGAAGCATGAAGTTAGTAGTAAAGTGTAACTGAATGGGTTTTCACCCTTGGCAAGAAAAAAGATAAAGGGTTGTTTACTAGTGACAATGTAATCTAAGGCCAAAAGGCTTTTTATGGTTTTGACGTTTAGCGCAGGGTGGGGTTACTTCATATTTTATAGGAAGACGATCTAAATCCCAAGAATTTTACTTTTTAAATGACACCCCCCCCCCAAAAAAAAAATAAAGAAAAGCTAAATAAAAGGAACACACCTCTATGGAAAACAAAATATTGAACTCTTTCCTAAAAGGAGAGGGCAGGAAGATCAATTTAATTTTCAAATATTCTACAATAACCTTCACAGAAAGGTTAGGATTTTGATCATATAAGAAAAATTATTATAAAAGCTTTTTAAAAAATGTCTCAGTGGGAAAGGGTTTCTGCTTTAAAAATTCAACGTCAGTGGCTAACATATTGGCTAGAAATCATGAAATAAGCCAGATTGCTATGACAAATTCTGGTCAGACCAATGGGTTTCATGTGGAAGATAATCACTGATCATCAGATACTAGGTATTGCCATTTCTTCCTAGTTGCTGATGTTTTACTATCAATGTTAAAGGTGGTTAATATTTATTATAATTGTACAATAGTAGATCCATTTGTTCTCTACATTTTTTTATTAATGGGTTGTGATAATTCTGGAAATAAACATTGCTGCATTTTTATATACAAATAGAGAGAGATGTTTTTGTGGAATCTAAGTGAAGTAATTTAAGCAAGTACAAGTATCATCCTGTCACCTTACACTAAATTAGTCTTGTGGTATACTATAATGATATACACTATTTGAAAAATTTACTCCTAACTGAAAATTTACAGAAACCAAAATGCCACCTAGTACCAAATATATTGCTCAATGCTGCCATCTATAGGACACTTAGAGATGATTTGTGTAATAGACTAAGGTGTACCCTGGAGCAGCTATGTTGATATTCACAAATGTAGTTATAATTCCAGGCATTAAAATCTTCCATGCCACGGGTGCACTATTGAACAATATCTCTACAGTTAGTTTTAAAATGGAAATATTGGTCTGTGTGGTGCTATCAGGGACATCATGCAAACTTTATAAATTATTACATATATCCTTAAAATGATCTCTAGTTATAAACTTTTATTAACCAATTTAACTATGGTCAACATAGAGAAGCATAGAGAAGCATAAACTACTGTCCTAACAGAAATAAGAATTGAGTTGGCTAAAGATGTAACCAACCATTTAAAAATTAGAAAGTATTTCATATATCAAAACAGATGCTTTACTTAAGATAAATAGGTCACAGCTGGAGGAGCTGTTTAAATATTGTCATCTCTAGAATTAATTTTGGCAATTGAGAATTAAGCTTGAAGGAAAATCAAAGCTTGTAGATTTTCTCATGTTAATTTCTATTTTTATTTTAAGATTGTTCAAGCATAACAAATATTCGAATGCCTACTCTGCAGGCAATATAAAATATATCAAAAGAGATACCTTTTTACAGCTTGGATGGGGTAATAAGAGAGATACAAAATAAAGATAATTGATAACTAAAGTCATTTGTGTGTGTGTGTGTGTGTGTGTGTGTGTGTGTTAAATCTCAAATAAGTGATATTTACTTACAGCAGGTGGAGAGCATGGTGGATGAAATAACCGAAGAAATCTTTGCGAAGGAGAGGAGTTGTAAGCTTGAACTTGAAGGGTGGATGTAACCCAGGTAAGTGATTGGTTATCTCTTTGCTTATGTGTTGCCATTCCAATGTTTTGGAGCACCTTCTTGTGTTAGGCATTAGGTTAGGCACTGAGGATTTAGATATCTATGACATGGCCCTGCCCACAGGAAGCTTTCAGTGAAGATGTAAGACCAGATAATACAGAGTGCTGTGATCTCTTTAATGAGAAAAGTAGGCACAAGGCAAATGAGACCCCAAAACAAACAACTGCCTTCTGATTTAAAGTCATTGATCACAGAAAGTACAATAGGAGAGCCCAAAGATGTCTTTCCCTCTGATAACCATGTTTCCCCTTGTAATTAAATTTTTCTTGCTTTTAGATTAAAAAATGTGAAATAATGAAATTAAAAGTGAGCTAGGACGTCACATTTGGCTTGAGAATCTGCTCGGTCAATGCTTCTTAGATCTGCAGATCTTGTTAACATTCAGGTTCTGATTCCCAAGATCTAGGGCAGGCTGAGGGTCTGCATTTTTAACACATGTCAGGTGATGCTGAATCTGCTGGATGGGGGGGTGGGGACCACCCTCAGTAGCAGAGCTCTAAATGACAGATCAATCCAAAGGCAGAGTAAGATGGTGCTGTGACACACAAGCAGGGTCTGTACATTTTAGTGTCACATGTATACATACAATGAGAAGAGCAGCAATAAAAGCTCTACTTACCTGAGGCATCCTTGCATTGGGGCTTCTCTCTTTTCAATCACGGGTATCAAATCTCTCTTCTGACAAGTATGAAGAGTTGTTTTTTCTTAAACATCTGTGAATGGAAAGTAGCTTAGTGCATTCAAAGGACAAATATCCATACTACCACTTAGTCTTAAGCTAGAAAACAAGAAATAAAATCTTATGTAAAATAAATCAACACCCAACAGCATAATTATGTAAAATAAAAATGGCTACATCATTAGTAGATACACAATTTGCCAAAGAGTGAAAACTGTAACTCTTGGAATATTTCTAGAACTACAAAATATACTTAAGCATGTCTCTATGAACTGTGCGATTTTATTATTGCTTTAGTTTAGACATTTTTCCATCATGATATAAGTTACAATAAATAAAATCCATGTACAATTTTTTGCATGTCAACTGCAAATGGCAGATGACCCATTCTGTCTCTGCCCAGTGGTGACCTGTCCACTCCCCCAAGTGACCTTGTTTGTGCACAGGGACATTTTCCTCCCACAAAATTGCTTGCTCTCTCTGTTGGCCAAGGTTGATTGTGTTGTTTTTGGTTTGTTGTTGTTGGTGGTGGTAACTGAGAGTACTGAAAA